CCCTTACCTTTAGCTACCAACAGACTGGGCAGTCCTTCCTTGTTTTTTATTTAAACCCATAAAAGGCTATTTTATTTATTCGGCCCTTCCTCTTGGCTCTGGAATGTGGTATATTAAGGAGTGTGCACTGAAGACCTCTTTTGAAAAACAGAAGGGTGATGCCAGGTTTACAGGTCAGCATGCATGTTTACATGACACCTGCAGTGTCAGAACAGGATTCATGTCTGCTGAAGGAGATCAACACGGCTGTAAGTGTGCTATGAACAGAAAGTCAGCTGAGAGAAACGGATGTATCTACAAAAAGAAAGAGATTCGAGAACTTAGAATTTAGGGAGAAAACAACACATTTTAAACCCAGTCCAACTGTTCCATAGAACCAAAACAAGTACTAGATACTACACATACGTGCAAGCATTCTGCCAACTTAAAATGTTTTCAAGAGTTGCTTCTGAGATAAATATCACAAACTTTTACAAATACAAACCACCAAGGCAAAGAAAATGCAATTTCAACGATGTTTCGTTAGAAAATGGATTAATCAAGTCTTTTCCTCTCCTTCCTCAATGAGACGAACTTCTGGCATTAACATTTCTTTAAGATGTACTACACGTGGCTTTCATCGGGGATAAACACAAATCCACACATTTTGCGACAACACACAGCACTACAAGCCGCTACACTCTCTAGCAAGACAAAACTTTCAGGTCTTGCACACCGAGGGTCCGTGTGAGGAGCTCCCACTACTGCCTAGCCGAAGCCCGGAAAAATGGACACACGTGCGCGCGCCTCGCAGGAACGCCCCTGGCCCCGGGAGGCGGCTGCAGCCTCCCCGAGCATCACCGGGCGTGCTCGATCGCCGTGACACTACCTTCTGGCTCGCGGGAGGTCAGGCACTCACCACGCACCGCGGCGTGCAGTCAGCAGGCGCTCGGCAGCCGGGCCTACTTTGCCGGACGCCTGCACGGTCGCAGCGCGCGCGCGCGCGCGCTCGGTGGACCGGGCCGTCGCGCGCCCCTTGGCCCCGCCCACCGCTGGAGGCGGGACCGGCGCGTTCGGCAGCCAATCGGCCGCTGGCTTGGCAGGCTTCCGGAAGCGGCGCCGCGCAGCAGCGGCGCTCCGGCGTGAGGACGTACTGTCGCTGTCGCGGGGCTGGTCCGGCGACGTGCGGGCCGCCGGGAGCTGGCGGCAGGTAAGCTCGAAGGCTCCGGGGAGCTGCGGGATGGACGGACGGACGGACGGCCTGCGGCAGAGCGGGTTTCCGCTGCGACCCGGGCTCGCTCGCTCGCTCGCGCTGCGCAGGCCCGGTGGCCGCGGGTGCGCTTCGCGGTCGTCGTGCCCACGGGGCTGCCGAGGGATGCGCGGCTGCGAGCCGGGCGGTGGGAGCTGGCCATGGCTGTGCGCGGGCGGGCAAGGCCCGGGCCGGGTAGGAAATTCTTTGTCTGCCGCACACCTGCTGGGAAGGGTTTTTCTAGGCTGGCCTAAGTGGCCATTGGAGGCCTGCTTCCAGCGTTTTTTACATTCTGTGTGATGTTCCAAGTATTAACATTTTAAAAGGCCTTATAGACGCCGGGTTCTTAATAGAAGCAAGATTTGCGCGAGACTTTCCCAAAGTAATTTTCATTATTGCCTATTTCCGGAGATCTTGAGAAGCCGAAAGAACATTGCACTCCAGAAACACTTGCTTAGCAGGGTGAAAATCCCTTTCTGCAAATTCTGCAATAGAAGAGTTCTGTGTGCTTTTGAATGGGAGGAGAAATGTTCTAGCAATTTTCCCTCTCTCAGACAATACCCATTTAAGTTGGATTGTAACAAACTAAAGTCATAGACCCAGTAAATTGTATGCTCACCACGATGGCTGAGCACTAAAACCAGCTCTTAAGTGTTTCTACCTGAACATTAGAGGAGGGGAAAGCCGATGAGGGGTGACATAAAGAAAAACTAATTGGAGAGTTTGGCTAAAGAAATGATGAGAAAGATTCATGGCTTTAACCTAGTTGTGTCACAATCTGAGCTCCTAACCACGTAAAGCTTTCTTTCCCTTACACTGAGAGCTTGTTAGTTCCAGGTTCACTATTCAAAAGACAGTAGTGGCTTACACTTGTGCCCCACCATTTGGAGGCTGAAGCAGGAGTACACCTGTGAGTCTGACCTTGTGGGGGAAAAAAAGGTTAAAATGTTCCATTACTTGTTAGCATCTGGCCACTAAGACTGGGTGGGTCGGTTCTTCTCCCACCTTTTCAAAGTATTAATTCTACTGGTGATTACCATGTTTGGCAAAAACTAGCCACACAGAGGAATGAAAATAGTATATGGAAAACTAACTAAAGGGAACAAAAACAAAAAGATGACCTGAAATACAAAATGGGCTAGACTACCAGGGGAAGGAAGAGGGGAGAGCAGGAGAGGGGGAATAGGAGGGATTGGCCTTGAATATGGTATAGGCATGTGTGGAAATACCACAAGGAAACCTGCTGACTTGCACAATTTAAAACTAGTAATTAGTTTATTCTGTTTATGTATTTAGCCCCTGGCTTTTATTCTGCTTGCATTATATATCATATATTTTTTTGTCAAAGAATTTTGAGATAGGGTCTTGCTATGTGGCCCAGGCTGACCTCAACTTTTGGCAGTCCTCCTGAGTGCTGGGATTACAGGAGTGTACCAACACACTTGGATCCAGTTCGAGTTTTCTTCCCTATTACTTCATTTTGTAAAACTGACAGGCTAGAAAACAGGCTTTAGAAAAAGAAACCATACAGGTAAGTTTTGTCTGCCTGACTGAAGTGTCAGTCAGTGAGGATTCCTTATTGCTTATATCAGCATCTGTAGACAGTGTATGTTGAAGGTGTGTGTTCCACGTCAGAATGAGGAATTGTGGGTATTTAGGTTTCCAGCTCATGGCATTGTTGATTTGTTTCTTTCCTACAGCGCAAACATGAATGTCGGAGTTGCCCACAGTGAGGTGAACCCCAATACTCGTGTAATGAACAGCCGTGGTATGTGGCTGACATACGCTTTGGGAGTTGGCTTGCTTCATGTTGTATTACTCAGCATCCCCTTCTTCAGTGTTCCTGTTGCTTGGACCTTAACGAACATAATACATAATCTGGTAAGAATTCTGTCTTACTTTAATCATGTAAAATCTAAGGTTCTGTGTCTGTCCGGGCGTGGGGAGGGGTGGGGCTGTTAAGGGAGAGCAGCAATAAAATGCTGTTGAGTGAGTACAGATCTTTAGTTTGGAAAGATGAGAAATGTTGTGGAGATAAATGACTGGTGTTTTCATAACAACATGAAGGTTTGTAAAACGTTGTAAATAAAACTGTAACTTAGTGGTGTTTGGAAGGTGCGTAGTTCTCAGTCCTGGGAGTTGAACTCAAGGCCTTGCCCTGCCAGGTAAGCTCTACTGAACTACACCTCAGCCCAACACCTTAAGGATTTTGTTAACAACTCTATATTCTATGCTATAGAAGTCCTATTTAAGCCGGGTGGTGGTGGCACACGCCTTTAATCCCAGCACTCAGGAGGCAGAGGCAGGCGATCTTTGTGAGTTCCAGGCCAGCCTGGTCTACAGAGCGAGTTCCAGGATAGGCACCAAAACTACACAGAGAAACCCTGTCTCGAAAAAACAAAAAAAAAAAGTCCTATTTAAAATGTACATGTTTATACTCAGCCCGCAAACATAAACAAATGTGTAATTCAGTGGCTTGAGATACTGTGAGTTAATTTTGAAAAATTTTAATGTTGGTTAGGATATTTTTCTATCACACTTTAACATTAGTCCTTTTTCTAAGAATTTCTTCTCCCACTGTTTGCCATTTGAATAAAAATTACAACATTGTAATTTGGCTTATATATTGATTCACTAGAATACTTGAACATTAATTGTTTTATGTTTAATTGAACTCTAATAAAGATCTTTCGTTTGAATCCTTGCAATGTCTCTCTAAATTGCTTAAATATACCTTCTTTACTCAATGTAAACATTTTACACTTAAGCACATTCAGCATCTTATGGTAATTAAATATTTCTTATTGATTTTCACACTCTTGTATTAGCAGTATGCATTAGCATTAGAGATTATTACAGACTTCATTGATTACTGAGCATATTATTTATCATTGGAAATTGACTGTTAGGGGGAAAAACCCACATAACACCCTGACTTTTCTTAACTTTGAAGTACTTACTAATGTAGAATGGAAAGGGAAAGATGCAGATAATGTAGAACTTTAACTGAATCCAAACTGATTGTATACTTGTTAGAGAGGAGAACAAAAAAAGTAGAGAAAATAGGTTTTTATATGTTTTGGTTAATTTATATATATAAATGTTGTTGAAGTTGATGATCAGGATAATGTGTTTGTGGAAATAAGTATCATTTAAGTGATAGACTCTGGTAGAGCATTGCTGTTGTATTTACTTGTTTGAGAGATGGAATCACCCATGGAGGTGGCATACACCTTTAATCCCAGCACTAGCTGAGCAGAGGCAGGTGGATCTCTATGAGTTCAAGGCCAGCCTGGTCTGCATATCAAGTTCTCTACACAGAGAGACCCTGTTTTTTTGTTTGTTTGTTTATAAAAGAGGGAAAGATGGAATCTCACCATGTTGCCTAAGATGGCTTTGAACTACTTGGTTCAAATAATCTTCCCACCTCATCTTCCCAAGTAAGTAGGACTAAAGGTGCGTACCACCAATGGTGAATAGTTTTTAAATAGTAATTTCTAGAAATACTTGACTTTGGTCGTCTCCTTTTGACTAGAACTCTTGTCTTGGCTTCTGTGGGATCATTTTGTCCTTGGTATACCTCTGGTTGTCTTCCTTATTGCCTCTTGTAGGGTCTTCTTTTTATCTGTTCTTTAATCACTCGTGGTTCCCCCCCCCTTTTTTTTTTATCTTTTTTATGCTCTGTATTCTATATAGATCATTCTGCCTACCTGTACTTTCAGTTTATATCTGTAAAAGATGCTTGTATTTAGATCACCTTGAAGAAAGCAAGCAAACACCACACAAAATCATGGTCCTGACTTAACTCTCAGCACATACAGTCTTCTCTGCCTTCCTTTCAGAGTTCATCTAAAGGCTTTACTGCTTACTGGACTACTGAATTTCAAAGGTAAAGCAATATAATGTCACCCTGATCTTTCCATGAGCAAAGTGGGCACTAGTAATAGCCACTCCAAGAGAGTTAGGCGGAAGCCTGGCCCTGTTGGAGTGGGAGATATGGTCACTTTTGCATTATGTAAGTGCTTTTTCCTATGAAAGCCTTGTTTACTGTTTCACTATTTACTTGCCTCTAGCCTCATTTCTTTATCAGATAATTATTCCAGTAGTGTTCCTCTTCATATGGCTCTTTTCTACCCTCCCCTATTCAGACTTGACTTAGAAATACTTTTTAAATGTGTATCTACACATGGCCTGTTTGTAAGTCCTTCAAGGATTCTCCCTTGTGTTTATGGTAAAATCCCAAGCTCTTTGTGTGGCATAGTTAATAATTATTAAGTACAGAGACAGAAAGTCTATCTCTGGTCATGTAGCCCCTGATTGAAATACAGGCTGTGTTTCACAGTTTGGAAAAACAGTACTGTTGTTATGTTTTTGCCTTGGCTTCAGGCTTTCTCTTCCTGTTCCTCACTCTGCCTGGATGATTCGTGTCCAGCAGAACTACTTGAGTTTCACATCCTCTGGGAATCTGTAGGATCCTCTGCATTCTGTTATATGTTCAGCAGAGTTTTATAATTACTTTGGATTTTGAAACAGGCTCTTATTCTGTTCCCAGGCTGGCTTTGAACTCTTGGCATTCATCATGTTTCAATTTTTCAAGTGCTGGGATTTCAGGACTGAGCTGCCACATCTGGCTTGTTTATATTTTAATTTCTGCAATCTCTGATGATGATGATGTTGATGATGTGTATGTATGTATGTGTGTATGTATGTATGTACTTATTGAATAAATAATATTTAAATGTATTATAGATGCCATTTCCATTCCCACCTCCTTTGTTTTGATGTTGATTGACTAGTGGGCACAATAAGGAAATCATGTTTCTCATTTATTGTTAGTTCACCACACTAAAAACCTAAATTTAACTAGCCGTAAATATAGCAATTACATGACTGCAACTTGAGGTTGCCTTTGAAAATAGCTTACATTTCAGCCTACATTTCAACCTATTAGAAGTGTGAACTCTGAATGCTTTTAAGCATGCAAAAGTGGAGCTAATCGGTGTAGTATGAAAACCTGCACTGCTTTTTAGAGCCTACAGTGATACCTTTTATTTGATACTACAGTTCATTCTTTTTTTTTTTTTTTTTTTTTTTTGGTTTTCCGAGACAGGGTTTCTCTTGTGTAGCTTTGCGCCTTTCCTGGATCTCACTTGGTAGCCCAGGCTGGCCTCGAACTCACAGAGATCCGCCTGCCTCTGCCTCCCGAGTGCTGGGATTAAAGGCGTGCGCCACCACCGCCCGGCCTCTTTTTTTTTTTTTTAAGATGTATTTTATTTTCATGTATGTCTGTGTATTCATACATACATTCAGATGCCTGTGGAGGCCAGAAGAGGGTGTCAGATTCCTTGGAACTGCAGTTACAGGCAGCTGTGAGCTGTCTAATGTGGGTACTAAGAACCAACCTTGGTCCTCAGCAAGAGCCCTTTCCTCACGCCACACTACAGTTCATTCTTGAAGATTATGAATGAAAATTCTCTTTGAATCAGTAACTATTAAGTGCTAGTACACAAGATATGTATTTTATTTTCCTAATTATTTTGGTTTATGACTAATGATCATTAATGATCATTAATGGTTTTGTATAAAAGGTACTAAAAGTGAGCATACTAAGAGAAGAGATTGTCACTAAAGATGGCGCGCACGTGTGTGTGTGTGTGTGTGTGTGTGTGTGTGTGTGTGTGTGTGTCTGTGTGTCTGTGTGTGTCTGTGTGTCTGTGTCTGTGTGTCTGTGTCTGTGTGTCTGTGTCTGTGTGTCTGTTTTGCTGGGAATTGATCTGTAACCTTACACATGCTACGCAGACACCATCACAGAACTAAATACACACAAGTGCAGACTTTATTATTTTCCACTGAGAGGGGTAAACTTTGAGTATCACATTTTAAACACTGGTGAGTACAGTGTGGTTTGAAGAAAATAGCAGAAGGATTGTTCTTTTTCCTATATTCTCACAGATAATATGTTACGGAATAGTTCTTTTTTCCCTTATAAAACAGTAATAGTTAATCAAAAATTATTTTTAACCTCTTTTATTATGTTTAAGATAAAAACCACATCCACATACATTAAAGCATAATAAAATATTGTCTATTAACTAATGCAGAAGACTATAGAAAATTTTTACATTTCATGAGTTTTAATCCCTTTTCCCAGTTTGTCTCTGATTATCTTGTTGATTTTGTTTTCTTAATATTTTACAATTTATTTCTAGTTTCTACTTTATGAAAAACTTTCCTTTCTAGTTTTTAGTTTTAGGTGCTTGGATGAACCCAGGGTGGTTTTTAGCATACGCATGCCAGGTGCTTCACCAAGCCACAGCAGCTTTAGTGATAAATGATCTATACACCAAAATCTGCCTATTTTAAACATGTAGTGGAATTAAACTTTTCAAGTTTTTCTGAAAATTATATACATGAAATCTGTTATTTACACTGTTTCCACCCTTTGTCCCCACCAACTTCTCTTATTCCCTCTTAAATTCATGACCTTTTTAACTCTTGGAGGGAGTATTATCATCCCCAAATGGCAGAACTAGGTCTAAATTTTTGAGAGGTTAAATACTCTTGAGAATTTTAAAGACACACATTTTCTGTTTCACTATTCCTTTTAGCCTATGTGAAAGTGGCTTCCTTTTATAATGTAAACACACCTTGGCTTAATGTCATCCTGCTCTATTCTAGGTCCTATTCCTCATGTATTGGGGCCAGTGGAAAACAAACATGCAAATAACACAATTCATTGCACTGAAATCTATGCATGCACATAAATGGGAGGTTAATTATCAATACAGTTCATTGCTCTGGGATCCATGCATGCACATAAGTGAGGTTAATTATTACTAATGAAGTTTAATTAAGAAGTGGTCACTGAAACTGAGCCATCATGGATGAGAGAGTTGGAGTGGTGACATCCAAGCTTTAACCTGAACAAAAAAAGAGACCATATACTTTGAGTGTTCTGGCTGTGATTTGGATAGCAGTTTCTGCCCTACTTCTTTTTGTGTCTCATCATCCCTCAGAAGACTGGATTTTTCAAAGACTAGAGATCCAGCTTGCTCAGTTTTGTGTGCATACATGTTCTAGGTCCTCTACACATAAACCACTCACTAAATGTTAAGTATTCTGGAATGTGCATTCGTTCCTCAATAGCTTAGGTATTGTTGAATAATTTTTTTCTGTCCAAATTATCATTTCATTACACATTTTAAAGGTTTTTAAAATCGATGTACAAAATAATAAGTTTCATTGTGGCATTTTCTAGAGTATGAATACTGATGCTGTGTTCCTATTGTCCCCACCCTGTACCCCACCAGCCATCCCATTTCTCCCCAACAACCTCCTCTGCTTTCACGTTGCTAAGTGTACATTTCTAATATGAGAGAAAATAAGCATATCTTGTCATTTTCCCCTCCCTCTTGTAGTAGCCCTCTTTCATCCCTTTCTCCCTCTCAGCCCTTCCTCTTCCCTCATCCCTTTCCTACTTCCTTCATGTTCTACATGTTTATATACTTAGAGCTAGAGTCTGCTGCATGCCAGAAAACATGCAATGTTCTATCTTCCTCTCATTCCTCACGTTACTCCTTCCCTAAAGGATTTACCTTGTCTTTGTAATGCACAACACACACACACACGCACACACGTTTGTTTATTCATTAGTAGTGAATAAAACTTTCAAGGGATACAAATACACATTTTCTCTATTCATTACTTTGTTGATGAGCATTTAGGCTTGTTCCTTTGCTGTTATGAACAGTGCAATAATAATAAACATAGATGTAGTGTATGCTGACATTTATTTTATGGAAACATGTTACTTTTGATTCCCCTTATATTGGTTTTAACCAAATAATAGTTATGTACCCCAGAAAGCTTTATACTACATAGATACTGACTATAATTTTTCACTATTACATGATAACCTAACTTGTCCTTAATTTAAATCATATACTCACCAACAACCTAGAGCCATCATGATACATACTTGCAAGAATAAACTGTTTGATACCCTCTGTTGCTTGCTTTTCAGGGGATGTATGTGTTTTTGCATGCAGTGAAAGGAACGCCTTTTGAAACTCCTGATCAGGGTAGAGCAAGGCTCCTAACCCACTGGGAACAGCTCGACTATGGAGTACAGTTTACATCTTCTCGGAAATTTTTCACAATTTCTCCAATAATTCTGTAAGTGGTAGAAAAGTTAAGATATAATGGATTGGATAGGAGAAAAGTGTTTATCAGATTTAATTGAATTTCAAAACAATGCTTTATTAAGAATTTTTATCAGTAAGTAGCTGCCACAAGTAGAGTCATAGGGCACAGGCATCATTTTTAGCAAGTTGATAACAAACCAGTTTTACTTGAATCAATATAGCTAGAAGCACTACTGTTCATCATTGAATCTCAACATTCTTTGCTTCATAAATCAAATACATTGTGTCTTTGTTTCTTATAAGGAAATTATAAACACCTTATCTGTATTACGTGTCAGATTAATCATCCTAAGCAATGATTTGATGATGATGATGATAATTTTATTGGCTACTCATCTCTGTTCAGATGGCTCAGGACACGCTTCTTGAGAAAAGACTGGTTTACAAACATAGAGGTCAGACTTCAGTTAGGAGACTGACCTACGTTGAATCCTGTATGATCTCATATGCTTGGTGTGCTTGCATGTACAGTTCTGACAGTGGCTGGGGATGTAGCTCAGTAGGAGAGGACTTGCTCAACACGTACAGCCATGAGTTTGATTCCCAGCCTCACATAAAACCAGGCATGGTAGTGTACACTGTACTCCCAGCTCTCAGGGGGTCAAGACAGGAAGTTCAACAACTTGTCCACACCTGCACAGCCAGTTGAAGGCTGTCCTGAGCTACATGCAGCTTTTATCAGTGCCCCGTACCCAGCCTCTCCCCCAAAAATCTAACTAATGGTACCTGACTTAATCTTGAGGCTCTAAGAAACAAGTCAGATAATTTTTTGTAAAGCATCTATTGGAATCTGGTGTCTGCTTTCCTCCCAGTACCTACATCATTATTCCCTCCATTTGAATATTTTATCCTACCCAATTTCTACCTAAGTATTTCTTGAATGTTTTGTGTATAGTCCTGTTTTTGTCCTTTTGGTCAAATTGATTCTAAATGAAATACCATCTTCTTTTTTCTCCCTTGGCTGTATGTAGGGGTAATTGAGAAACAGAAATGCATATTTTCCCTTTTAAGAGTTCATAAGTACATAGATTGCTAACACTGTAGCATACAGCTTCATACATAAAACTACATCCATGATAGAATCAATGCAGTCTAGAGTGAGGGAAAAGATTTTCTAAGAGAGGTAAGTTTAAGATAGATGTCTTCATAAGTGAGGACATTTTCAAGAGAGAGGATCATAAAGCAATAGACCTTTTCCTTTCATATTTATCAGATTTTATGGAAATGGGTTGGTTTCATCCCATGTAAAATTAAACTCAAAAGGAAAATATCTTTATAATTAACAAAAGTAAATGTAATAGCAGGAAAGACAGTTAGACGTCCTTAGTACAGGTGTGGGCTGTATTGGTTTTAAGCTATATGACATTGGCCTTGCACGTGCAGAGACGCTACAGCTAGGATACTTCTCTGGCCCTTGTTGGCTTTGTTTTGGCCATTTTCTTGAAACCCTTAGGTTTCTGTAAAACATAGAAGATTGCAGTTTAATATACATAAAAATCCTTGACATACAATGAATTTTCAATTAGAGATATACCAAAAAGTCAAGTAAGATCTATCTATATACAGTCTTTCTGGTTTTTAAAATATAATTTTGACCCACAGTTATGATTTCAAACATTCTGATTAAATTCCTTGCATAATTGTATCATTTAAGCCATCTGTATAGTATTGATTTTTTTTCTATTTCTTTTTGTGGCCCTGCGTCAAACCCAGGGTGCCCTGAAGTCTTAAGTCAGTTACTTACATCACCAGCCCTGATCATTTTCAAATGTACTTCCATATTTGCTTTAATTTATCAGGTAGGTGTGACATGCTGTTACCACAGATTTTTGGATAAAGAAACAGACTCAAGCCAGCTGGGTGGGTAGCATATCCTTTATCCAAGGACTATGGAGGCAAATGGGTTCAAGGACAGCCTGGTCTACATAACAAGTTCTAGACCAGCTAGAGCTACTTAGAGCCCATCTCAAAAGAAAGAAAAAAGGGACAGATTCCAATCAATTAGATTGGTAAAGATCTTGTGGCTATTTTGAATCAAGAGCCTGGATTAAACAGAAACTTCTGTCTTCTGTTGCAGGTCTCTTTCTAATGTAAGCCTTAGCAAATAAACTGTTTTATGCTGATTCTACCTGGAATTGCATTTCCTTAGAATCGTCTAGGTTATTTTAAGAGTAGGGCAATTTTCATATACTCCATTCACATGTTACTAATTTCCATTAAAAGAAAGTGTGATAAGGTAAAAACATGCCAAGATGTATCCTTTCCTTCTGCCAGATTATAAATCAAACAGGCATTAGCAACAAGTCAGTAGGCTTACTGAATACAATGGACAATGCCCTTCTGTTCAGTAGTGAAAGTATAAAACAGTCTTCAAGTCCGTGAAAGCATGAAGAAAGATTTTGCAGCAAAAATTGAGAAATAGTGGCTGTAGAGAATGCCCACTAGTTAAAAGCACTACTCTTCCAGAGGACCTGGGTTCAATGCCCAATACCCTTATAGCAGGTCACAGCTGTCTGTAATACCATTTACGAGGTGGGAAGATCTGGTGCCCTCCTCTGTTCTCTGCAGGTACCAGGCATGCACATGGTACACAGACATACACACAGGTAAAACACTCATGCACATTAAGTAGTTTTTAAATATTTTTTTTTTAGTTGAGGAATATGGTTTAAGTGGAAGATTACAGAATTTCTTACACTAGAAAGTTCTGAAAAAGACGTGTTCAATCTTCTGACAGATGTTTTTACTTGGAGGTAACTCTTCTTTTCTAACCATATTATACAAAATGTCTCCCTTTGTGAGACTATAAAGTTAGGGGAAAAGATCTTTTTCAGGGTTCCAGTTAGACTGGTTATAGACTGCTCTGCTATAGCAAGAAGATGATAACATCAGAAGGGCAACTGAATATGTGCTTCTCTCAAAGATGCTGATCCATGTGTGTGGGAAAAGCTAGTCTCCAAAGCTCTGCACCAGTCATTGGTGGCCTTTGCTGAGCCACAGAATACCTTGGGAATACAGCAGGTGCTTAAAACCAGATCTTTTCTTTAGAACTGCACTGAATACAGATCTACACTTGACATCTCATAGGTGTATGGAACCTATTTGAAAGCCGTCTGCTTTCAAGGATGCTAAACATCAGCTTGCTTCTATGCACACTGCAGAAATGTAAGGTGTCACCTCATTTTTGAAACTCCAGATCAAAATGTTTTGATTTAGTATCAAAATGATTTTATTTTTATGCATTTGTGTTTAGTGGTCCCTTTTTATAATATTTTTCAATTCTAGGTAATTTCATTTTGGGATGCCATGTGTATTCTAACTTTTTATCTCTGCAGATACTTTCTGGCAAGTTTCTATACGAAGTATGATCCAACTCACTTCATCCTAAACACAGCTTCTCTCCTGAGTGTACTTATTCCCAAAATGCCACAGCTGCATGGTGTTCGGATCTTTGGAATTAATAAGTATTGAAATGTTTCTGCAACTGAACAAAACTCTTACAGCTACTGTGTTCCCAGTAAGGAAAGAGTAGTGAACTGCACTGTTTCTGTGATAATGTGAAATAAGAGGTATTTACATTGGAGGGCCAAATGCTGGTCCTTCATAGCCTGTCTTGAGGAGCAGAATTCCACTAAGGGATGCCTCTGTCTAATGTGCTTGGTGTATTTCCGAGAGAGGCTTTGCAGGCAGGCTGGGCAGGCCCAGCTTAGAAGTTGATGGCAGTACAATGAGGGTACAATAACTAAATCCAAGGAAACGAGGGGTTTATAAGAAACTAGGACCAGCTTGTAGTGAATGGGCATTCATTATGTTAGGAAAGGAAAACTCAATGATCTATTCATAGTTTAAACAGACTTCTATAAAGCAGAATCATCTGTATACAAGTTTTTATTACTGTATATGACTTTATATGACATACATCCTCTTATTTTATACAAGCCCCTTTCTACTTTATATGTATGCTCTTTTGGTTTTTCTAGCTAAGTATTGTGTGTTGATAAATGAGGTCGTGTTTGTGTTTATTACATTACAGAGTTTATGAAGGTTCACCTTCATGACTCACTCTGATAGAAGACAGGCAAGGCTCTGAGTCAACATTCTCATTTTGGAACAAAGTGGGTTTTACTGCTTTTCCAGAAGCAAAGCTGCTACACCAATTAAGAGAATAACTTATTTTAAGTAGTTCAGGTTTTGGGTAGCTTAAAGATAATTGTTTATTTGGTTGTGCAAATTAGTAAAAGTCTGTCATTTTTCAGAAAAGGAAATGCAAAATGGAGTGACCTGCTTTGGGCAGAACTATTTCTCCAACAGCAGAACTGAAGCAATGGATTCTCTGTTAGCAAGTCAGAATAAAAGATAACATTGTCTGGTCTTAGTTTCCTGCTCTTGATCCCCACAGTTTGCCTATTAATATGTCCTTTAAATGTGTGAGTCTTAATGTAAACAACCCCAAATGGTACCTATATCCACAGCAACAACTATATTGAATTCTTGTGATGTGGGGAAGCTTCCTATAGTTGCTAGCATTAATTGTATGAAATTACTACTATGAGAAATATATTTCTAAAATGTTATAAGATAAAGCTGAAAAACTCAGTAACATAAGATTGAAAACAGTTGTAGACCAACTTACAAGTCAGTTTGTGGCAATAAACAGACTTAGGGGTAGAGATCATTGTTTCCTATTTCAAAAGTACTGAGTTTAAAAATCAGTTGTATGATGCTGCCTTTGTATGTTTGTCTTTTCTCGTGTATTTTTCAATTACTGGTAATTGATGCTTTAATAAAAAGTTTTCCTTGGTGTAAGATTATTTTAAAAGTTTCCAAGACAGTCATCAAAACTACATTGACACTTCAGATTTATTTTTAAACAATTGAATTTGTAAAACTGACTAAAAAATGTTCCTCTGTTTAACTTCATTTTTAAAAGCTTATATTTTTACAAATATTTAGAAAAAATTTGCCCCATGTTTTCTGTGCTTTTTACTTTCAATGCTTTAAAACTATTTACTCATAGCTGTATGGGGCCTACCCAGTTATGCTATTTTAGTGCTACAGAGTCTGAACAAGATAAGCCTGTTCTTTGCTGGAGGTGCACACAGTGTAGGTACTTCAGGAAGTAAAGAATGCCATAGCGGTAAGGGTATGGGATGTGTGAACACCTGCTTCATCTAAGGAGTGGAAGGTACAGCGGTCTAGAGAAAATTGCCAGTAGGAGTAGTAACAGATGCCGAGATTCCTAAACACCAGGGACATGTTTGCAGTAGAGGCAGGGAAAAGCAAGGAGAATGGCAACCATGAGTATCCCAGCAGTACGGCATGGCACGGGCTGGGTTACAAGGCGTTCAAAATCAGAAATAAGCGGATTTTATTCTTAGCATGACAAAGCTACACAGAAGATGGAAGGGACTTGTATTTAAAGCTCACTGCTGTTGAAATGAGCCAGAGAATAGAAAACAGGAAGAATATTTGGGAAGCCACTGCAACCAGGCAGTTCATACTGAGAAGTAGTGAACGAAATGATGAGCTACTGGTAAGAGTTGTGCCTTGTGGATGTGCTGATGAATGTTGGGAAGCAGAAAATGAAGTGGCTTAGTATTTGGTCTGAATACTAGGTGAATGGCTGTGTTAAACCTGAAAAAATGCCATTTTTATAAATGTATATTTTAACTATTAATCTGGATGTGGTAGTTTATGCCTGTGATCTGAGCACCAACAAGGCTAGGGGAGGAGGCTGCTGCAAGTGCAAGGCCATCCCACCTTAACAACAATAAAACTTAATTAACTCTAATGAAGTCAGGACACATACTGGCGACTTAGTGATGAGCCACTAGATCTTTCAAAGATTTTCCTTACAATTGTGTGGGTTTGTATGTGAGTGCAGTGCCTGCAGAGGCCAGTAGAGTGTGTTCCATTTCCTGAAGCTTGAGTTCCAAGGAATTTTGAGTTGCCTGACTTGGGTTCTGGGAACAGAATTGGAGGTGCACCTTTTAGTGCTACGCCACCTCTCCAGCCTGTCAGTGCATCTTGAGTGAGGTAGGTTTTACTGTGGGGCCCTGGTAATGGTTTTCTATGGTCCTTTTTTAAGGTGGTTGCTGCCTTTTAAGCACAGCTGACTGAATCAACAACTGCAACTCTGCTGCTATTAGCAGGGTCAGGCCTCAAGGGCCATAGCTGGCGGCTCCAACTCCTGCACAGCTACGAAGGGAACTTAACTAAACCTCTTCCCCTCTAAAAAAGTCAAGATTCAAAGGTTAAGATGGAATTCTGCTCTTCAGAGGCTGAGTAGCAAGTAGTTCACCTCCTCTCTCCTTCCCACCAGCCTCCTGACCGCAGGTGAATTTTATTTAATCAGACACATCTTTGCGTCATTAAACAAACGTTTAAGAGCATAAACAAAAGTAACACACCTTGAAATAATATCCTACAAAAGTTTTCTATTTCCTCATGCTAATTTTCACTGCTGTATGTTTTTTCCAAGCTGACTCCTGTGTTTTTGACATGCCACATTCCTTTTTGGGTTTTAGGTGGTGTCCCAAATGAGATTCTAAGGGAGCATAATAACAACTACTTAAAAGTACTGTGAATCAGCCTAATATGTGACAACATATCTCAGTGCTATGTTAGAAAAGTACTTAAGACTGGAATTCAGTCCCCTATATCAGCTCAAATAAGCACTGATGACTACTCCCCCAGTAAGTTCTGATTTAGCAGTAATAGAGGACAGCATAACCCATTTTATAATGAAGTTATGAGCTGTTTATATTGAGCCAAACCCCTAATCTTTATGCCACAAAACTCTTAGCTACTTGTTTAAACTTAACAGTCTTGAATAAGCACTACTAAAGCTGTTACATTTTCCATAAAATACAGTCCCACATTTCTCCCACTTTCAGTGACTTCTTTAAGTTCTACTTTGATTTTTGTGTAGAATGCAAGGTAAATACAAGATGAGAGTTGCCTATAATACTACCGTCTCCTACATGCTTTTTCTTTTTAATGCAATATGTTACCACTTCAAATATTTTGATTTGATCATTGGTTTACTTTGTGTAACAAAAACCTCTCATCTTCAGCATGAGCTGTCAAGTGATGGTTTCCCTTTTCATACACTTAACAAAAATGGATTCATTAAACCAAAAGCTAAGAGTTTTTCTTATCAAAATATTTTGTTAATTTTGGCCTATCTTATCTAACTGAAGTTTGAGTCATTATTACACAGCATATTAATTGTGTCTCTTACATGAATATATATTATCAGTAAATATGACCCCCCAATTCCCTTATCCTATTCCGAATAAAAATAAATGGAATATAACTCAACAAATTTAATATAATCCTTTTAACAGAATAGAAAGTAAGTTGCAAAACTATGTCTAAGATCAATGATTCTCAACCCGTGGGTCATGACCCATCAGCGATCAAAAGACCCTTTCACAGAGGCCGCACATCAGATATCCTGCATATCAGATATTTACATTCTGATTCATAATGGCAACAAAATTAAAGTTATGAATAACAATGAAGTAATTTTATGATTGAGGAATCACCACAACATGAGGAACTGTATTGAAGGGTTGTAGCATTAGGAAAGTTGAGAACCACTGTTTTAGTATATGTTGATGTGAGAATTTGGAACAGGTTAAGGACTGATAAGTCAGGCTTAAGTAAAGGGACCTAAAAGTAAGTGGGTTATGGGGGTCGTGCTTATAAGGGAAGATACAGGATTTTTTTGTCTAGTCAAAAAAAATGTGCTATAGATTTTTCCTTTTGGTTCCAATTAAAAATGACTAAGCAAGTATTTTTACATGTATCTCAATTTTTCACTTGTCCATGAATGAGTACATAAACATTATAAATACCAAATTCAGAATATTGAATATTTGGGGGATAAGTATGCATACTGCTTCAGCTTCATCAAGTAATGTTTTCTCTCTTAAGTGGGTGTTGGGCTTAGAGACTTTTTTCCTCAGTACTTTTTCAGTAACATATCATAGTTACAAAGTGTTAGTAAAAATAAATGTGAGCCAGATGTGGTAACTACATGCCTGTGGTCTGAGAACTTGAGGTAGAATAATATGGTCCACAAGGAGTTCCAGGCCATCCAGGCCTACATAGTATGACCTTGTCTCAAAGCACAGAAAACTTAGGGCTTTCTCTGTGTGTGGTTTATTCCATATTATAACTTATTATCCAACCCTTGATAAACAGCTGTGGAGGAGCTCACCTATAGTTCCAAGGTTCTGGATTTGGGCCTTGTTTTGTTTCTTAGATAAGGCCTCTGTAGTTAGTGCTGAAGTATAGATCCCCCTGCTTCAAACTCTGAATGCTGACACTATGAGTGTGCACCACTATGCCTACTTAGTAACTCTATATTTTAAATTTAGCATGGAAGCTAGATTGTCTTTGCATTTTGCGTAAGTATATATTTATTAAAAATCTCAAATATAAGAATTACAATTAGAAAATAAATCATTAACATTCTAAAATGAATAAAATGACTTTTTCCACTTAAGCAGCTCTAGATTTTTATTAGTCTTACTTTGCAGAACACATTTTTCAAGTATTTTTGTATTATGGTTGACCATATATTATCAACAGGATAAATATATGGGTTTTTCTTCATCTTTTAGTTTTCAAATATGTGAACAAAAATTAGACAAAGTATTAGCTATTTCCTGAGAAAATACAGCAATCTTTTGAAACAGATATTCCTCCTCTCTTGAATTCTCATCCAACTATATACTTCTTTCATTGCATTGTTAGCATAGAGGAAGGGTAGAGACCCATTCTCTCGTCCTTCCCTTTTACAACCACACATGGACCCTACACACTTAGGGAGTGGAGCTTCCTCAGAAGTTAAATTTGTGTGATCCAGCAGCTCTGCTTTTGCGGTATGGTATGGATTTAAAGGCTCCTCTAGAGGCTGGTGCTAAAGGCTTGCTTGTAATAGATGTTGCTTGTAATAGATGATGTTATTAGGAGATGGAGCCTTTGAGTATGGCACTGGAGTCACATCTCTTGCCGGACCCATTCTCTGATTCTCAGCTGTCATGAGGTGAACATGGTCTACCATGTGCTCCCATCTTGGTTTTCCACCTGATCAAAGTCCTAAAGGAAATGGAGCCAGCCCTTCATGAACTCTACCTGAAAGTGTTTTTGGTGACAATGATGAAAAGCTTACTAACATGGTATATATCTGAAAGAAGTAAAAGCAGGAGTGCAGATGCGTGAACATTCATGTTCACAGCAGCATCTTCACAATAGCCAAAAGATGAATGAATGAAACAACACATGCACACAATGGAAAGTGATTCTACCTTTGAAGGGAAATTTTGATTTATGGGAGACACAGATTAACCTCAAAGACAATATGAAATGATAGTAACAATATGACAAATGTGATTATGATTTCCACTTGCATTCATAAAGACACAAAAGAGAATAGTTGTTGTCAAGGTTAAAGTATTAAGGTTTAATAGGTACCAGATTATATTGGGAAGATAAATTTTGGAGGTCAATGGTAGTGAACACAGAGCAATATGAGTGTTCTTTAGATCTCTTCATTTAAAAACAGTTAAAATGATAAGCTATGTTGAGGGAGATCGGCTCCCTCTTTTTCCCCCAGGCTACTCTTGAGGAGGAGAAAGTGAGAAATTTGTAGATAGAAGTATAGAGGAGAGAGAGAACACAGGATAGCTTGGGAGGGCTTGGATCCTAATCCACCGGCCCCTTCTGTCTCTACTAATGGGCTTTTTAAAGGAATGCCAAGGGGTAGAGCAAAAGACTTCCCCCCAGCACAGCCTAGGGTAGACCATTCCAGACACCTGGTGACCATGCACATGGTCAAGCCATCCCCTAATGCAGCCCTACTGTGCAAAGCAAGCTCAGATCTCACTTGAAAACCTTTGTGGGCTCCCACACTATGTATGCTATAGCTTTTGCCACGAGATAGCCTGAAGGTCAAGTTGTAAAATAAACATATCGCAGCAAACAAAATGAAAGAAAAAGATCTGCCAAAAATGAGACCAGACTGACAGTAGTGCCTTGAGTAGAAGGATTTTCTTTTCACATCAAAGATGGTACTTAGTAACAAAAACTGGAAAGGAGAAAGGCCATAGCTTGCATGACAAATTTACAAAAGGTGTATGACTCAAGTGGGAAGTAATTCCTTTTCTACTGCTTTCATCCTCTGCATATAATCTGGATTTGACCTGCATTGTGATTTGTTCAACACAAAGTGAGAGACCACAAGACTCAACTATCCTAGCTTCAGCATTGTAATATTTTCTATAAGTTAATGCATTATTAGTACTAATGGCTTTTAAACAGTAGTTCTCTAGCCGTTTGTGATGTGTGACTCAGTAACCTAGGGTGCAGTTACTTCTAAGCGAAGGCTTGTAAAGGAATCAGATGATCCTGCCAGGCTATGGCTGTATCTGTGGCACATCATTCAACCTTCTCTAAGTTACTCTATACTTACTGTGCATTTCCATACCACTACTTTTCTATTGCCTATTACCTGCCTTTTGCTAATAGACTTTGAGATGGTTGCAGATGTAATTCTAAATGGTCTTATTAAATAAATAAAAAACACAGAGCCAAATAAAGAGTTAAAAGCCCAGAGATGGAGCAGTAGCCAAGAGCTAAGACCACCTTATCTTACCACTCACTGTTGTCCTTCCCCTAAGAGAGAGACCTTCTTCCTGTGCCCCTTTCATTGCCTTTTTGTTCTGCCTTCTCATTGGCTGTAAACCCAACCACATGACTTCCTTGTCACTGCCTGTCTATACAGACCTCCAGGTCTCTATGGTTGGTACTGAGATTAAAGGCGTGTGTCATCATGCTGGCTGTGTTCTTGAACACACAGAGATTCTGCCTGCCATGTTATCGGATTAAGGGCTTGTGCTGCCACTACCAGACTTCTGCTTAATGGCTTGCTCTTACCTCTGATCCCCAGGTGACTTAATTAACATACAAATAAAATCACATTTCAGCACAAATAAAATATCACCATATTAGGTGGTTCTAAAGTTTTTAGCTCTCGCAACTAAGAAAGTACCTCCCCAAAAGGGAAAGTAATGATAAATGTGTGATAAAGTGAAATCTAGGCAGGTCTACAGGAGTGGGCGTTTGTAGTCACAAGTACTATGAAGGCTGAAGAAAGAATTACTAAAGTTCAGGGGTTAAGGGCCAGCTGAATAACACAGCAAGAACTCAAATCACTTTCATTTGTATAATATTTCATATATGTGCACACTTCTTAGTGGAACACACTTAAGGAATAAGTATTGCAAAAATCTTCCTGTTAAAATCATCTGAAGGTTACAAATGAGTTTGTATTTTGGCATTTAAGCAATAAGGGTCCAGAATCAAGGCTGCCCTAGCTCAATTCTAATGTTAGTCTGCCGCACTTAACTCTGTGACTTTAAAATCATCCAAATTTTGTAGCTGAATTACCTGTAAAATGATGTCCTGAACATTAATAGTAGGCTGGCACAAAAATGTTACCTTATTGTTACACACCAAAGAAAAATGTCTCATTTAAAAAAAATGAGCTCGATATTGTAATTATGAATTTGTACCCGTTCTTAGGGTGTAGTCTGTTGGTCTGTGATAAGATTTACTTACTTACTTTTTTTTCACTCAGACCTTCACACTCTGCAAGGCAAAGATGTGTATGCTGGCACTTCCCAACCTTGCATCGTAAAGCCTTTGCTTGCTACAGTTTTAAAGGTTGGTAGGGAGAAGATTCGAGATACATCCATTCAAGCTTAATTAAATTCACAAACCAAGTCAACAAAAACAAAACGATGCAAAAATTAGTACATGCTACACAGAAGGTTGAGTACATAGTGATATGGGGCTATAGAATGCAACACTATTTTTTTTTACTGTTGACAACTTATTTGGCTGACTTCGTGATAACAGAATGAGCCAGCCACAGGTGTTTCCCTTGGAAAGCGGGAGCGAAGGTTTAGACTACAACCACGAGCACTTCCATCCTCTGGGAATCCAGTGCTAATTCTGCTGGTGTTCTGACTTCTGATGAAAATACCCTTTCCCCATGAAAGTGGAAGGTGTCTCAGGTAGGATGACAATTACCCTATCCTTTTTCTCTCGGTGGCAGCAAAAGGAAAGGCAGGACTCTTTCCTAAAATGTAGCATCGTGTGGGCGCAGTGCAATCAGAGCTGAATTCGGACCCCTCTTCATAAGCCGCTGTCAGTGTGACCTGTCTTGGCGCTCACAAACCTGGCAAGAACGCCGGAGGGCAAGCTGCAAGGCTCACGACGTCCTGAAGCATTTCTCTACCAAGCAGCTCCCGAGCCATAGGAAACACCTCGGCCGTAGAACTGTGTCGCTGCCCCGTGGCGTCACTTCCGGGCGCCGGCGCTCCGAGCGGATGCCCGCAGCTTCCCAAGGTGGATGGTGTTGCACAGGTCTTGCCTCCGAGGCTTTTTTAAAAAGTAGAACTGGTCGGAGCTCCTCTCCAGTTCTCCGCCGACAGAGGCTCCATAGCTTCCGAGCCAGCTGTTTCCAGCTGTGCTGCCCAAATTGAGGAACTCGCATTCGTCTGGGGTGGTGTGGGAGCTCACGGCTTGAATCTGCAAATAGTTCACTCCATCCTGGTCCCTGCAGGTCCGCTTTCCCAGCTGAGACGTTGGCTTTGGTTTCTCACCCCAGTTTTGCTCATTCCACACATGCTTTGCAGTGTGCAGGTGCTAGGGTGTTTATATATAGATTGCTATCTTCTGGGGGTGGTGGGTGGGGAGAAGGATTTAGAAAGAAGGTTGGGGTAATGAACCCATTACAAAAAAAAATGGAGATGTGATTCCAAACATTGGATAAAAGTATCTGCAGTTGTTTTGGCCGAGACACGTTTCATTTAGAATGAGCTTTATGGGAGAACTTGTTTTCAAACCACAAAATTAAATTTTGAGTGGTGTGTGTATATTTTAATAAGCTGAACTAAGTGCTGTACACTCTTTTGGAGAGGAGGCCCAGGAAATGGGAGGTCTTTTTTTGTTTTGTTTTTATCTGTTCTATTTAATTCATTTTAAACAGGACTATCCACACAACTATTGTACTGTAACATAAACTGTTGTATAACGTGAAAGTTGAGCATTGTTTACCCCAAATGCCTGAACCCAGAAGTGTTCCAAATTTTTTTTTTAAAAAAAATTTAATTTTGGGATGTGTCATATACATGACATATCTGAGGGCGAGACCCAAAGCTAAACGTAAAATTTGTGTTTTATTTGCATCCTATAAACATAGCCAAGGCAATTTTACATAATATTTTTAGTATTTCTTGTGTTTCCACTAGCAAGTCAGATGAGTAGAGTAATTTAGATTTTCACTTTAGGGACGCTCAGCTTGGAATATTAATGACTTTGTATGTTTCTCACTTTTCTCTTGTAAAATCTAATTTATTTATATTCAGTGATTTATAGGGCCTTTATAAGATTTTGATAACTTTTACTAATGTTCCTATAATTTTCTAAGAATGAATACTTAAAAAATAAATATTCACTATTTTGTCTAAGTCAATGAATTAATCGCAAATGACAATTCCAAGTAATGTTTCTATAATTCTTTTTCTAGGAATCATTTGTAGAGTAGAAAGTATGCTAATATTAAGTAAGACAGCAAGAGTTTTTTCCAAACCACCAAAGAGTAATATTTTTGGACTTTTAAGAAGTTTTAGTGTTTGCCCTAGAAGACTTTTTTGTCATAAACTGGTACTGGGAATTGAAACCAGCTGTGATGATACAGCGGCTGCTGTAGTGGATGAAGCCGGACATGTGTTGGGAGAAGCAATGCATTCCCAGACCGAGGTTCATTTAAAGTAAGTAGAAACTATTTTGGTCATTCCCTGTTTTTTGGGGTTTTTTGTTTGTTTGTTTGTTTGTTTGTTTGTTTGTAAAAGAAAAATGAAACCATTCTTTTGCATTTATCATGTATAAAAGTCAAAATTTAGTAGTTAAATTCTTACTCTTAGTGGAAAACCACTGACTACTGCTATACACACAGCCATGCCTGGTGGTGCAGGCCTTCGGCACCAGCACTTCCACAGCAGAGGCAGGGGATGTGAGTTCCCGGCCAGCCAGTGCCACGTAGTCAGACTTTGTCTCAAAACAAACAAACAGAAGCCTGCTGTAGAAATATCTCATACCTCGCCCTGGCTTTTAAGACCTTCCACAGGCCACAGTAGGGTCTCAACTTTTGCCAGTCCTGACGACAGAAAGAAGGAAAGCTCATTCCCAGCACTTACTTCCAATGGTTTTCCTTCGGTGTGCCTTTTCCCCCTGCATGTATGTTTTGTGGTCTCAACAGCAGTCCCAGGGAAGCATCACCTGATGGTTGAGGGAAAAAAAAAAACTATTCTCATTTACATATATAATTCACATCAGTACTTAAAACATTGTTGTATTAAAGCTTAGAAGGTTTATAAACCCAGCTGTTTGCAGAGGACCGCAGGACAGGTGACTTAAATAATTGGATATAAAGTGCAAAATATACCCAGCTTTAGCCAGTTGTCACTCAGGAATGTAAGACTTAAGTATCAGAATTTTCAAAACAAAGTGAAAATCCACATTTTAATTGTAATCTAGATTTTTTTTTTTATAAATGATTGGCTAATTCAAAACACATTGAAATACATCTGTAAGTTATCAGTTTTCAGCATTTGAAGAATGAAAAAATGTCTGGTATTAGTACTGTCTCACTAATGTTAGGCAGGTTCTTTATCCTCTGATTTCTTTTTCATATCAATAAACAAAAATAACTTCCTTAGTGAACTGGGGGTAATTTATGGGGAAGATAGAGCCACTAAATGGCATGCTGTGGACATCTTGATTTCTTTTTAATGCACTGAACTTTTGAATGTTATCTTCACTGAAAAGCCTACTCTGAGCATGTCATCTAAATTAGGTTCATTGTGTATCACTGTGTCCTGCAGATTTTCTTTCTAATCCTTTTTACAGTTTATACATGTTTGACTATTCATAATCTTTCCTCCAATCAACCCTAAGCTCTGGTAATGAAGTCTCCGTCCAGATCAACCACTGTGCTATACCTAGTGCCTGTTAGCACAACTGTCCGACTCCTCACAGGTCCTCGGTAGAGATGCAAAGAATAGTGCTATCCAAGTGAACGTTACCAACAAAGGCAAAAAGACAAGAACGTTCTATTTAGCCAGAGCACAGGCCACTTCAGTGGAATACTAGTTAAGTGTGTTCTGTGATATCATCCACACAGCTCAGCTTAGCATGATTTGAAAACCTACCGTTGCCATGCAATGACACCTGGGACACTGTGAGTCCTATGTGAACTTTGCCTGGATAACCTACCATATCAAATGGATTTGCTACCAGTGTTGGGGTCAGTATTTCCAGGTTCTTGCCCTCTTTTCCAAAGAACTGAAAAGGACTCACATAGATTCACAAAAGAAGCAAAATGATAGTGCAGATCGTAAATGGATATGCTGTCAAGATTGGTAACAGGACACATGATTAATAGTACTCAGGCCCTGACTCTTGTTCAGGACTTTCATGGAATTCAAGGGAGGGATTGACTACTCAGGGACAATTTGGGTGCTTCTTTAATTTGTTTAATAGATTAGGTCATATACTCATTTTTCCCATTGTGCATGTCCCCTTCCATAATGCATCTGATTTAATCACATGCATGCCCAGTTATGCATAGGCATAAGATGATAAATAGAAGAGTCTCCATAAAATGTTATAAGAGGACACAGTTTTGCCTTACTGTACACACATCCAAACTAGTTCAGGCTGGCTCAGCCTTCTATTCTTATTCTGTGATGTTTGGGATACATTTGAATAAAAACAGTCTAAATTTGATTGTTACAGGGCCAGGGAAATGTCTACCATTGTTCATAGACAGGAGTACACATAGCCCCATGCAGGTTGGGTAGGGAGAGGTTGCTAAGTGCATTGTTTGGAGAAGAGTGTGTGTGTGCATAGTGGGTACAGGTAAAGTAACTAGGCTAGTGTGCATAATCCAAAACCGGAGAGGGGGGGATCCCAAGGTAATCAACTGTCTACTATGCTTGCCTGCCTCGGGCTGATGTGTACTTTTATATTCTGATTTAGTACTATACATTGAGACAATATATATTTTCAGCTTTCTTATTTATAAAATCTGGATCATCATGATAGCATGTGTTAAATATGAATAAATGTGAATTCTTTTAGAGCACCTGCTGCAGTTAATAAAATCGAGCCATTATGAACAGCACTTCTGTTACTATCAAGACAGATAGTGAACAGAACATTGTAAAGTAATGTGGGAAGTGTGATGATAAAGTGCTGCTTGCTAGTGTATCCTCTTCTTCCAGACCTCTTCACTTCCTCTCCACTTCACATCCAAGTCAGTCATCCAGTGGTAGTAAACAACCCTCAAATACTGCTAGAGATAGTTCTCTCCTTTCTCACTAACTTAATTTAATCCCACATTGTCCCTTGCCTAGACTCCAAATTTAAATGATTTCCTTATGTCCGTGTTACCTTTCTTCCTTAATCATCTGCACTCTCTATACAAATTAAAATATGACTAGAAAATGTGTTCTCATTAATTATTTGAGAATAAGGCCATAGTTTTACTCATTATTTGTCTTTATTGCTTAGCATAATTTCTAAAAATTAAATACCAAAGAAGGCATGGAATGGGTATAAGACACAAGGAAAAAGTGAGCAGGAAGAAAGGACTTGAATTCAGACTCTCTCAAATTCCAGTCAAGTAAATATTTTGAGTTGGAAAATAACAGTCAACAACATATTGCTGTCTGGTGTTTTCTGACATCACAATCTGCAGTGGGCTCTAAGAATCAGAAGACAAAGCTAGAAAAGTAAAGAGGCTTTGAATTTGGTGGTGTCGGTGGGAATGTTATTAAACTAAACATTAAGTGTAGAGACAAAGGTAAAAAAACGAATGTTGAAGGGACATTGAGATGGCTCATTAGTAAAGAAAGCCCCCTGCTGACCTGAGTTCAATCCCTGGACCCCCAAATGGTAGAAGGAGGACACTGACTCATGCAGGCTGTCAGCTGACCTCCTCGATATGCACCACCCACCATAAATAAATAAAAATGTAATCTGAAAATGAGCCTTGAAACTCAAATGGTTCTAAAAGTTGTTGCTACTAACAAAGAACAGGAATATCAAATAAGTATATTTAAATAAGTTTTTAAAATTTTATTACAAAACACACTTATTGATTTCCTTATATCCTCATTCCCTGAAATATATATATATATATATAAACACACATATATACAAAAATGTATATACATATATAGTTGTAACTAAATATTCATTGAATATTGTGAAGATTTTTATTTCTGTATATAGAAACCATTCCACATGGTCTTGCAATGTCAAATATTTTAAAAGGATGTTTTGAGGTCAGAGGTGAATTTTACAGACCTGTGAAATTGCTTCCCAGACTGTAAGCCAGATAAAAGTTGCAATATCTGTTGCTGGCCATGTTTTGTCCCCGTCCTGTTGGTCCTTCTATGCTGGAGACTGAATGCGAGACCCTGAGTAAATTAGGCAGGTGCATTCCCAACCTTCCCTGCTGATTCTTAACCCGGTGTTTGGAGTGATCATCCACTGTCCTACAGAGACCAAAAATGTCCACTGCCAACTGAGCACTAGATTCCCAAACTTTATTTTAGGATTGCAAGCTATCTCCTGTCCTGGTCTGACCTCAAGTGCAGTGTGTTTAAAAATAAACTCACCTTCACAAACTGTCTTCATACTTCTCACCGTTTATATTTTTTCTCCCCATCATCCCTAGCAAATATGAGTCATTTTTGATGCCTGGGACCCTCATATTCTTGTATCCAGTTTAATATACTTTAGTCAAATAAACTCTTGCATTAATTTCTAAAATTCTCTCCTCAAGATTAATGAGAGCTAAATACAGTTTTATCCTGCCCTTCTTTTGTTCATGACCTCTTTGGAATTCTTTATGAGTGTCCTGGTGACCTCATTCATCAGAAATAAACCATTTTGAACACAGCATGAAATTACTGAACTCTTATCAGTCTTGCATTATAAAGCACACGGTGTTAACATACATAGTAATATAATGGTTCATTTGTAAGAATGCCTTCAAATGTAACATTGTCTTCCTCATTTCCCAATTTTTTTTAAAACTGTCTTTTTTTTTTTCTTCCCCAGAACAGGTGGGATTGTTCCTCCAGTAGCTCAGCAGCTTCACAGAGAAAATATTCAGCGAATAGTAGAAGAAACTCTTTCTGCCAGTAGAGTCTCTCCACAAGACCTCTCAGCGATTGCAACTACCATCAAACCAGGACTGGCCCTGAGCCTGGGCGTAGGCTTATCATTCAGCTTACAGCTCGTCAATCGGTTTAAAAGGCCGTTCATTCCGATTCATCATATGGAGGCTCACGCACTTACAATTAGGCTAACCAATGAAGTAGAATTTCCTTTCCTAGTTCTTTTGATTTCTGGAGGTCACTGTCTGCTGGCATTAGTCCGAGGTGTGTCAGACTTTCTGCTTCTCGGGAAGTCTTTGGACATAGCGCCAGGTGACATGCTGGACAAGGTACAGCTTCCTAAGTCATTTCTTTTGGCTCTTTCAGTTGAATTGCAGTATACAAGCTGCTCGCCTAGGGAATTCTGAACAATGCCTGATTAGACTGAAAAACTTTTTAAAAACTACTGCAAAAGGCTGGGTATGGGTAGCAGGGTAGAATAAAATTCAAGGCCAACCTTGGCTAGTTAATGAGTTTGAAGCAATCCTGAACCATGTAGCAAGGTCTTGCCTCAAAAAAGTGCTGGGATCCTAGCACTTTTAATTAGACTTTTAATCCTAGCTTTTGAGGCAGAGGCGTGTAGATCTTTGTGAGTTCAAGACCAGCCTAGTCTGTATACTGAGCTCCAAGAGTTGTAATAACTTTTTTTTTTTTCTTTTAGATAGGGTTCCATTCTGTAACCCATGCTGGACTCAAAACTCATAGTGATTCTCCTGCTTCAGCCTTCCATGTGCTGGGATTATAAGTAGGAATTACCACTATGTCCATCTCAATTTTGTAATATTTAGCCATTTAATAAAATGGTAAGAATTTTACATCTGTATGTAAAAGCTCAGATACTTTGTAGTTATTGCTATATAGTTAGTCAAATACTTCTTGTGAAAGTGTTTGGGAAACTTTAGCACTGTAGCATGCTGCAAAAATATAAGGATATACAGTGATTAAGAGCAGGACATTGTACATGCCTTTAATCCCAGCACTTGGGAGGCAGAGGCGGGTGGATCACCATGAGTTCAAGGTCTGCTTGGTCTACATAGTAAGTTGTAGGCCAACTGGGGCTATATAGTGAGACCCTGTGAAGGAAAAGTAAAGATTAACATGGAATTCAGAATCCAGTGCATAATTGCTAACATCACAACAGTTTTTCTTTGAGTAGTATGGAGCCTACTGCATATACAAAACAGCTGAAATGATGGAGGGAAAGAATGGGTCAGATTCTTATTTCCAAACTTCACCTTTAAATAACCATCCTCAACTTCAGTTTTCTGACCCCAGTATAAGAGAGAAAAGCTAGGGTTACAGCACTTAGACACTGTTCAGCTTCGAGAGAAGACTTGCCTGATTTCCTGAAATTAGCCATAGTCCATGTATTCACTGAATATTTTTAAAGTAATTTTTGAATTCATTATCTTTATATCTTATGGCTTCAAAATTTGTAGCCTGTGACTCATTTAAGAATATATTTTTTAATGTCATTTATTACATATATTGATGCTGATATTTTGACCCATCCTTTATCCCTGATTAAAGCTAACTTGGTCATAGTGGGTAATCTTTTTCTTAATTAACTTGTGATCAAAATATAGTGTATGAAAAAATTTTAAATGTTTGTTTTTAACAGGTGGCAAGAAGACTTTCTTTAATCAAACATCCAGAATATTCTACGATGAGTGGTGGGAAGGCTATAGAACATTTGGCCAAACAAGGAAATAGATTCCATTTTACTATCAATCCTCCCATGCAGAATGCTAAAAATTGCGATTTTTCTTTTACGGGACTTCAGCATGTTATCAATAAGCTAATAACGCGCAAGGAGAAAGAAGAAGGCATTGAGGAGGGGCAAATCCTGTCTTCAGCTGCAGACATTGCTGCTGTGGTGCAGCATACAACAGCGCGCCACCTTGCAATGAGAACATATCGTGCTATTCTGTTTTGCAAGCAAAAGGATCTGTTACCTCCAGCTAACGCAGTATTAGTAAGCTTTGTCATCTCTCCTGCTAGTAATGGGACACTTTCCAGCATGTTACTTACCCCAGGAATCTAGTTGACTTTATTTGGGATAAGTAGGTCATTGGGTCTCATAATGGACAATGTAGAACAATATAGAATAAAAGTGATGTATAACCATTGTGAAGGAAGACATAACATCTTTATGGAGCATCTCTATAGCCTATGTAGAAAAAAAAATCCCAGGCTACATTTTCTCTTTGAACTCTAAAGAGGGTTTACAATAAAGAAACCAGAATAACCCTTATGATTAGTATTTTTAGAGAAGGAGGCTGCTATCCTCCATCTTTTAATGAAATCCCATTAAATATGCTTACAAGACTTGATAATCTTCCTACTTAATAGGTCTTAAATCTTTGAAAATTATAAACTAAGGAAATGTCTAAATCTGGCAATTTGTAAAATCAAATATTAAAAATGAATATTAAAGATAATGATTTATTAAGAGCTGGGTAGCTCACTGATAAAAGTACAAAATGCAGTCTAAAATATTGATGTATTATGATTGCAAATGTTGCAGAGACACTTTCTGGTACTATGAAAATATTTTAAATGCTAGCAATGAATACATGCTGGCTTAAAATTGTGATTATTATCTCCAAATTTTTATTCTGCAAATATATCACTAAATATACTAAGTGATATATTACTTAACCCCAATTAGTTTCTTGTTGGATAAAGCTGTTTTTTTTTCCCAAGTTTAGTAAGAGCTTGTTTCATATCCATGTGTAATAGCTGTTAATACTCCTCTTCCCAATTTTTTCAGGTTGTATCTGGAGGTGTTGCAAGTAACTTGTATATCCGAAGAGCATTGGAAATTGTAGCAGATGCAACACAATGCACTTTGTTGTGTCCTCCTCCAAGACTGTGCACTGATAATGGCGTTATGATTGCATGGTAATCCACAAGAGAATATGTGATTTACTTATAATCATGTAAATAGTCATTACCATCTTACCATACTAAATTTTCATCCTTTAGATCTTGAGGCTGTTGATCTTTGTTTCAATGTTTTTTATTATTATTGTTATTATTACTATTATTCAGGAATGGGATTGAAAGATTACGTGCTGGCTTGGGCATTTTACATGATGTAGAAGACATCCGATATGAACCAAAGTACGTAGTACCATTTAACATGTTTATACAAATTACATTATAAAAGAAAAAGAAAGTCTGGAGTATGTTTTTTGTATACGAAGTTTTTGTTGACATTCTGGTGGTACATTAAGGAAAATGACTGGTATTCATGAATATACTTGAGAAATAGTTGATAAGAAATATTTCTGCTACAAAATCAAATTATAAAAATTTTAGCAGGCCATATATGAACCATGGTCTATTTCTACAGGCCATGAATAATGGTGATACATCATCTTATTTCTTACTAGAAAAGAACACTTTTCAGGGCTGGAGAGATGGCTTGGTAATTAAAGAGTGCTCCCTGCTCTTACAGAGGACCTGGGTTCTGTTTCCAGTATCTACATGGCAGCCGACAGCCACCCTAACTCCAGTTCTAGGGGATTCAACACCCTGACCTCCATGGGCTCCTGAATGCATACATACATGCACTCAGGCACACATGCATACACATAAAATATTTTTAATAAAAGAAAAGCCAACTGCATGAGCTGTACTTTTGTATTGTCTAGTGTTGTCTAAGGATGGTTAGTGTGTTAGCAAACTTGAGGGAAACATCCAGATAACATTCAGATATGTTATACTGTGCTACAAGAATCAATGGGAATAAGCCAGAAGGCAGCTCTTCACTGTAAGCCTTATGTCCTCTCTCAAACCACAGTCCCAAGAGCAGTTTTTTAATTTGCTATCAAGTTCTGTTCAAGTTAGGGGATAATTTAGGACAATTACATTCCATAGCTTGGCATAATTATATTTGAACATTATTTCTTCTGATATTTTTCACTTCTCAGCACCAGAGTTGTGCTTCAGGAACCACCGATTGTTGACATCACTTGTGAATGGCCAGAGTTGAGGGTAGTGTCTGAATCATTTACATCTCTGCTTATCAGATGATACTGGCTGGTCCAGTTGTGGCAGGGTCAGGGCTGGTAATAATGGCTTTATCCAGCTGGGGTCAGGTCAGAGTCTTAACCTTGAGCAGTATCATAGAAAAGCAGGAATTTGAGGTTTCACTTTATTTACTAAGGAAGAATAGATAAAGTGGGTAGGAAGTGAAGAGCTCTCCAGTCTAGAAGAGCAAGGGCAAGTTGAAAAGGACAGAGCAACTTGTGAACTCAGGGAAACCTAGGAAAGTGCAAACACAAACAAATGTAGGCTTGACTTGATGTGTTTAGTGCTATTTCCATTTTGACCTTTGTAAAAGATTATAACTATGGTATCTTTCGTTGTTTTTTATGTTTGATTTTAAGGGTTATTTTTCCATTTGCTTTTTTGTTGTTTGAGAGTTTGTGGAATACAAGTTTTTGTGTGTGCTTAAACAGACACACTACCATTGAACCTTTGAACTATATATCCCCAGCTTTCACTTTGTTTTAAACTTACTAATTTACAGTCCTTTGGAGCAGTAGAAATTGCAAATATACCTCAAATTGAGGTTTCTTATAAATGGGGTAGTGCCATGCATTGTCCCGTTTGTATCTGTGTTAGAATTCTCGTCACCTATGCTGACTCTCCATTACTTCCACCATTATCCAGACTCCAAGCAGATAATATGCAAAAGTTGTGACAGGTTGTGAATCAAGCATAAAGTCATGTGGCCTCTGATTTTCATGCAGATGTCCTCTTGGAGTAGACATATCCAAAGAAGTTGCAGAAGCTGCCATAAAAGTACCACGATTAAAAATGACAATTTAAGTGGTGATTATCAAAGGTCTCTACAGGTAATATCTCAAATAATAAGTTTTTGGTATCAAATTATGTAAATATGTTCATTAGGCTTCAAGAATTTTATTATGCATGTGTGTATGCATATTCCTGGAGGGTACATGTGTGTGCAGGGGCACCTGTGTGGGTGTGCATGGTAGCAAGGAGTCATTCACATCTCAGGTGTTACTCTCAGGAATGCTGTCAACCTCCTTTGAGACCAGGCTTCTCATTGCCTTGGAGCTTTACCAGTTAGACTAGAGGAGATTGACCAGGGAGCCTTAGCAAGATGCTGTCCCTACCACCCTAGCACGGGATTATAAGTTTACACTGCCATCCTGGTAGTTTTACATACTTTCTGGAGATTGAACTTACATTCAAGTACATTACCTCCTGAGTTAACCCACCAGGCCCAAGACTTTTAAAATTCCTTTCCCTTTTTTTTTTTTTTAATCTTTTCTTCTGAAAGATAATAACTGCATGTTACAGTTCTTTTTTTTTTTTTTTAAAGAGAATGGCTTTTTTTATTATCAAACACCAGTGAAATCAAAGGATGAAGAACTTACTGATGTTGGCAGGTGGGGAAAAAAAATCCTTGAGAGAAATACAGTGGTTCTTTTGATTCCTGGCCCTGTATCATGGATCCTAAATCATTTTCCCTTTTCTCAGGAGAGTAGAAGCTAGCTTTTGACCGCTACTACAGTAGACTGACTTCTTCAGTGAGAGCAGTTTTAAAACCAAGCCAGGTCTCAGCTGTATCTAATCACAGACCCCTGAGTTATGACAATACTTGACCAACAGAATATGGACTTTACTGGTTAAGTAAGGTTTTAGGTGTCATGCTCTGAAGTCTATATGCTTTTAATTTTTGTCTAATTGGGCCACATACTTTCACACCCAATATTTTTTTTAAATTGTATTTACTACGATGAAAATAAATGAGATGAGAAAGGTTTGTTTTAGGTAATTTTCTCTGAACCTTGGTATTGCAGATATTCCTACTGGGGCTGGAGAGAGGGCTCAGTGGTTAAGATCGCTTCTTGTTCTTGCAGAGGACCCCAGCATCCACATGGCAGCTCCCAAGTGTACATAACTCCAGTTCCAATGGATCCAGCATCCTTTTCTGACCTCCTAGGGCACCAGGCATGCATGTGGAACACAAACATAAATGTAAGCAAAACACTCATACATGTAAAATTTAAAAAATTGGTAATAAATCTTAATTTGTTTAAAGGAAGAATGTTGCTATGTCCACTGATTTTGCCACTAGATGTTTCTATATACTGGGCCAAGTTGTGTAGATGTAACCGTCTTGTTAAATAAGAAACACAGAGCCAATGCAGAGAAGAAAGCCCAAGAGGTCAGAGCAATAGCTAAGAGCTAAAAACCTTACCCTTCATTGCTGCTGCTGTCTTCTCAGCCAAGAGACCTACATCCTGTGTATCTGTCTTTATATAGACTTTCTGTTCTGCCTTCTCAGTGGTTGTAAACCCAACCACATGACCTCCTCGTCACTGCCTGTAGGTACAGACCTCCAGGTCTTCTGTGGTTGGTATTGAGATTAAAGGCGTGTGTCTCCATGCTGGCTATATCCTTGAATACACAGAGATCTGCCTAGCTCTGCCTCCCAAGTGCTGGGATTAAAGGTGTGCACCACCACCACCCAGCTTCTGCTATGGCTTGCTGCTAATAGACCTGACCCCCAGGCAACTTTATTAACATACAAATAAAATCACATTTCAGTACAAATAAAATATCACAATAAAGTTGTTAATGTTGTGAACTTTCTAGTCTTTGGTAACATGTTTTATTGAAAAGCTAGAGAAGGTAAAGATAAAAATTTAGCATAGAAAAAACTTTTTTTCAGGTGCCTCACTTTATAGCATTCCAATAGTAGAATTACAGGCATATACTACCATTCTTATCTAGAATGGAAACATCTCTTATTTTAGTCCTATTTTAAGCTAGCTTCTCAGAAAGTTCCATAAGCAATTCTTTAGTTCAATTTATGATCACCTACTTTCTCCTAGAAATGGAGCAACTGGAAACAGCCATTACTTAAAATAGCTTTTTATTCTTTGTTGTTAGTTTGCTGTTGTTTAACAGGATTGGTAAAGAAGTAACAGGTAAAAGCAACAACTAGTTCAGGAATTTACATTTGGATTTGCATTTTGTATATGTGATTATAAATTAACAAACGGCTTCCATGTGACTACTACTGTCAGTACATATAAATTATAGAAGAAAATTTACCAAAATTTATATTATGAATATACTCATAATCTATGTTTTGAAAATGTTAAAAGTTGTTCCAAGTGCTATAATCATGCACGTATGTTAAAATTACTAATTACTTCATGATACAAGCAAGAAGAAATTTAACTAAGGAAAATGAGTGGATCCTAGACAGCAGCCATGTCTCTAATCCTTGAATACTTGGCTTTGAGGAGGTTGGAATAAGGGAGCAACACTGAATTCTGTTGATCAACACGTGCCAAATTTACTTTACAGTGAAGCAAAGGTAAATTAGCTTAGTGGGTCACTGAAACCAAATGGGCATTGGTTTGTTGTTTTGTATTCTTTTGTTTTTGAGACAGTCTCACTCTGTGGCCCAGGCTTGTCTAGGACTCACTAGATAGCTCACACTGGTCTTGAACTCTTAGCAAGCCTCCTACATGAACCTCCCACATCCTTGATTACAGCACACCTGGTAATGCTCAGTATGTCCTCGAGGCTTTTCTTGTATATAATTTTTAAAAGAAAACAATACAATAATAAAAATTAATCTTGAAGAGTTGAGGGTATCCTCCCCTGGTTCAGAGAGCTATGCCAGAGAGGAGGCAGAAAGACTGCAAGAACCAGAGGGGATGGATGACTAAGGAAACAGTGGCCTCCAGACACAACAGACCAATGTACATTTGCGATTAGAGAGATGTGGCAGCATGCATGGGGCCTGCACAGGTTCGAGCCAGATAGAATCCCAATGCAGAGGGGAAGTGGGCATGAACTCACATCCCGAACCAAGAGGCTCTCACCAACTGACAATCCACTTGCATAGGAAAAGTTAGATTTCTCCAACGGAGTTTCACTGGGTGTGTTAACCACACTTCAGGGTAGGTAGGCCCCGTGCCCAGCAGGAGATGGACAACACAAAACGGACTCAATGGCATATTTGTAGACTTTCTGTCTCATGTTGCTTTGTTTGGGCATTTTTGTTTGTTTGATTTGTTTACCGGTCTTTTACTTATATATTGTGGATCCAATTTTATGTTTTTATGGGTTTGTGTGTGTGTTTGTTTCTTGTGTTTACTTTTTTAAAAAGTTCTGGTTTGTTTGGAGTTTTTGTTGTTATTTGCCTATTTGTTTCCTAATGAGAAAAAGGGTGTGGAGGTGGGTGGGAAGATCTGGAGGAGTTAGGGAGACTATGGTTAGACTATATTGTATTCAAAATTTTTTCAGCAAAATAAATATTTTAAAGAGTTGGCAGTGATTCTTCAGGAGAAATACTGTAAGTTGTCAGGATGGTAGAATAGTCTGGTTAAGCTAAGTTACTCAGGAAGTGCCTGTGGTTGTTTGTAAAATATCTAGAGCCCACCTGAGGCTACATCAAGACTTGCTTGTTCATGCTAGAGGCTTAATAATAACTTCAAGAGTTACCCTTAATGACACTGAAAAAATGACAGTTTCTTACCATTTGATTCATTTCTTTCTAGTATTAAACATACATTTTCCTACATTTATATTTTATTTTGCAGTTTTGCAGTGATTAAGAATACAGATGAGCTCTGTGAAAGCCTTAAGTGAGGGTGGCTACCACCATCATGACCATTATTATAGCAACTGTCTGTTAATATGTATGGTCAATGCTTACTGCAGCCCAGGTAGATAGGGAATTACAGAAAGACCTTTAGAGTATATGGAGGCAAAGTGAATAGAGAAAAGGGATGGAGAAGTGAAAGAATAAGTGAAGCCTTGTTTGCATTGATCATGTCTGTCTACTGCTGTAAAGGACCAATTTCAAAGCTTGCACCCATTAATATGGAACTTTTGAGCAACTACCTCATATAGTTTATTGTTGATTGTTTTTTGCTCTCTTGGGGGGCCTGCCACCCAGCTCCTAAATAAATCACACACAGAGACATATTCTTAATCATAAATGCCTGGCCTTAGCTTGGCTTTTTGCTAGCCAGCTTTAATTAACTTTAAATTATCCTATCTACCTTTTGCCTCTGGACTTTTCCCATCCTCTTACTTCTGTAAATCTTACTCTTACTCCATGGCTGGCTGGGTGGCTGGCCCCTGGAGTCCTCCTCCTTCTGTGGCTACTTCTTCTCTTGGATTTCTCTATTAATTCTCTCTGCCTGCCAGCTCTGCCTAGCCTTTCTCCCACCTTACTATTGGCCATTCAGTTCTTTATTAGACCATCAGGTGTTTTACACAGGCACAGTAAAACAGCTTCACATTAAACAAATGCAACATAAACAAAAGTAACACACTTTAAAATATTCTACAACAATAGTTCTCAGCCACAAGAATGCCCTTATCAAATGCAGAGTAAAGGCACTTTCTGTAGATAATGGGACAGATCTAGTGGACACACATTTAATCACACTCCCTTATGTATCTGATGGGTGGTGATTCCAGATGTTAGGTTGAGTATTTAGACATTATACACTGCACATTTCATAAGCCTCGCACTTTGGTAATATTTAAAGTATTGTAATAAGTAATAGCATGCTCTTTAACTCAGCATACCAACTCAAAAAAGTTTCTAACTCTTGAGACATATATAGATATAGATACACATACGTACATATATACATACATATTATCTACTCATGACAGTTGATAAATGACAGGTATAAATGCAGTCATTCTATATAAAAATTCTACTTATTTGTTGAAGCAATAACTCAAACCTGATATTAAATTCCATGTGAAACACTGGAAAGATCTGTTATGTATTAACATAAAGAACTTCCATTCAAACAACAACATAGACTCCATTCCCTGAAAGACCACTCAAGAATCTTCTCATGTTCAAATGCTTTTTATTAATATTATTATTATTATTAGCTTTCTGTGGGCTCTGGGTTGGCTTTCTGCTCACGTTTCCCAAGGTTGTTCAAACACACTATTCTTGGTCTTGATACATTTATGATATCTGATGAAATTCCAGATGAAAAAGAGAAAATGTTATGGGAAACAGTGGCCTGTTTTGTTGTTTTGAAGAGCCCCATGAAGTTAGTTACAGGGGGTATTAAAGTCAGAGAATCTCTCGGTTGGATTTTAGGCCTTGTTTTTCTTCGATGCTCTTTCCCTGGAAGTAAGAGGCCACAGTTAAATGTCTCTCAAGTCAAGGGCCCTAAGTATAATATGATTACTTATTATTTTCTTTGCCTAACTAAAACGTATACCTGCTTTCTACAGAAACTCCTAAATAAATGTTTCTTTTCTCTCTCTTTAAAGAAATTTTATTTGTGTGTGTGAATGTATTCAGTATGTGGGTGCCCACTGAGGCCAGAAGAGGGTGCCACATTCCTCAGAGATTGAATCACATGTGGCTATGAGTTACACATGGATGCTGTGAAGCAAACTCAGGTCTTCTAGAAGAGCAGCATTTGCTCTTGCCCACTGGGCCATCCTCCAAGCCTGCATTCCTCTTCTTATTTTCCTGCTCTCTTTCTGACTGGTTATATCATAGACGTTTATTATTTATTATACTTTGTCATGGGCCCTTTCTAAGGTTGGCAGATTTAAGCATGTGCATGAAAATAAGTAATATGTGTTTATTCCCTGTTAAATACCTAACAAGGTCTTGGATAGGTGGCTCAGCTGTTAATAGTGCAGTGCTGTTGCAGAGCCCATGCTCTGTGCCCAGCACACACACCAGGCAGTACACAACCCTCTGTAACTCCATCTCCACTGGCATCTGACACTTGTGCACATGTCCCACATAGACACACAGTACACAGTATGAAAAGACACTTTTAAAAATAAAACAGAAAGGAATTAAAGCGTTGTAAGACCTAGACTCTGAGTTCCTGAACTACCCAACTGTCAGCTACCAACTGAGCCCAGACCGTGAAGTACCAATGGAAGCAGTGTGGCCTTCGGTGTAAAAATTGCAAAATCATTGTACATGAAATTTTACAAGAGCAAGATCGCTTAAGACGTGTTTAGATGGTGCCTTATTCCTGTTTGACATGGAAATAACAGAGAAAGATCTTTTAATTTTTGTTGTTGCTATGTGTGTATGGCAACAGATGTGGAGGTCAGAGCTAACAGACAACTTGTGGGAATTAATTCTCTCCTACCGCGTAGGTTCTGAGGTTCAAACTCAGATAATTAAGTTTATTGGCAAGTGCTCTTACCCACTGTGCCCTCCTGCCAGAGAAATCTTTGGCAACTGACAGTAGGGAAGACCTTAAATGATAAATACAGGCTTACAAAGGGGAGGTGTCTTCTGTGTGTGAAGTTACAAACCAGATGCTTTCTCTAGGATTGTCTCCACGTTTTGAATTATTAAAGATAGAATGTGAGCTGGTTTGTTACCTTGACACAGACCTAGACATAAACTGAGAAAAGGAACCACAGTTGAGAAATGCTCCATAACACTGGCCTGTAGGCAAGCATATGGGTGTTTTCTTGATTTATGATTGATGGGGGGGGGGGGGTCTGCCCTTTGTGGCTGTTGCTAACGCCCTGGCTAGGTGGTCCTGGGATGTATAATAAAGTAAACTTGAGTAAGCCAGAAATTGGCTCTTGTCCATGGCCTCTGCATCAGTTCCTTCCTTGAGTTCCTGCCCTGATTTCCCTGGATGATGGGCTGTAAGATGAGATAAATCCTTTTCATCCTAAATTGGCTTTGGTCATGGTGTTTGTTTATCACAGCGGTAGAAAGCCTAAGGTAGAATTACAGCCTGCCAGGTCTGGCAGGCATTAAAGAAATAAAAGAAAAATTAATTACCTTTTTTAAAGACAGGAATTATAGATGGTCCTCCATTCTTTTCCAGACTAAAAGGGAAAAAAAATCAGATAATTAAATGAAGACATACAGAAAACCATGAATAAACAAAGATTTTAGGTGCCATGTTCAGGGGCCTAATGGTCTCAGTCATATCTGTATAAACTGCATGCCGTCTGTAGCTGCCTTATGTTTGATCACTTATTTACTCATTTCAAACATTAACCATACCTGAGAGGGAGTATTAACTATATTTGAAGTGATGGAAAGACGGGACCCAAACTGGGCTTCGAGGAAAATAAAATTGAATAGAAGCACAATTTCCATTTCCCACAGAGTTGTGGGAATGTGCAAAGTACAAATCATTTGTACTAAAGTAAATTTATGAAACAGTGAAATTAATTTAACATAAATTATTAGAATTAAAATTCATATTGTGTTTTATATTTATGTAATTTATTTGAGATTTTTAGTTTTCAAAGGATTCTTGAAATAGTCTTATCTTTTTCTATTCTTAAAATTGATTTATATAGCCATAATATGCTTTTGGGTCTTATTCCCTTCTTGTATCAGAGTAATAATATATCTTGAGTAGCTCTTCCATGAATGTTTTCCTACTTGGAAAGATTCATAATTCAGCTTTGTGTATGGAAGCAAAGAATATAGTCCACAGTAAGATTTTTTTTTCACTCCCTATCTTTAAGACTTAGGTTATAGTGAAACTGTAACATTGAGACAAAATCATCTGAGCAAAATACCTGACAGAAACTAAAACTTCAGCCACTGTGTCATTTTAGCCCTGTTTCCTTCCAAGAAGCTTGGCTTGGCCTTGGGTCAGAAGTATGGGAAATCCATTTGGAGTGAAGATTATTTTGTCTTTCCTAATTAATTCAGATGTCTTCTAATTTATCTCCAGGTTAATAAAGAACAGATTCCTGAGTCAGGAATAGAGTTTATCAGTCCCCCCCCCCAAAAAAAAAAAACTTGTAAAGTTGAAATAACCCTGTTCTACACAGGACCCTGAAATCCAGTTCTTCTGTCCACACCACAGCCCGTTACTGAACTGAGATTAAAATGGGTTTTGACCTGGACACAATCATCATGCACCTCAGTCCCAGCTACTGAAGAGGCAGAGGAAGGAGGGAGATTGGAGCTGGACCACATAGCAAAGCACTGTTTCTAAAATACATAGGGTGGGGCCCTGTGATTGGGAAGGATGACTAACTTGGAGGGGCAGGTATTCGGCTAGTCAAACGAGTGTCCCCACCTTGATTAGGTTAGGGGTTATGTTGACAAATTATCTTTGAGTGTAAGTGTCTACTATCATCAGGAGCCCTCTGACCCTTGGAATTCAAAGACCCCAATTTTCCTCTCAGCTGAAGCTGCAGGGTACTGAAGTACTAGCCAAGTGTCTTCTTAATCAATGACAGCAGGGCAAGGGGACCCTGACGCTAACAGAGAAAACAGTAAGTTAGAACTGGCTGTATTAGAACCTCTGCTGGGAAAGAAAAATAAGTGGGTAACCATAAAAACAACCAATGTGTCCATGCTCCCAGGGAGAGGATGAGGTGTGGTACTGGCATTTTCCAAAGGCCATCATGACATGGAGAATATGGAGGAACTCGTTTGTCAGTTCTGGGAGAGATGTTGGAAAGGCAGCTGATAAGATGTGCTGCTTCCTGATGAGCTGAAGGACACTGGCTACCTGCTACATGGCTGTGGACCACCTATGCCTCTTTTTGTGCTTGAATTTAAAGCACCTTCATCCACACAGATACTGGCAACTTTTGGATATCTACTTAGTTATCTTTTGGGGAATTTTGATTGCCAGAACAAATGTGTGTTTCATGACCCCTATACACAAGAAGGAGATCGAGGGGATGTTCTTTGTGAGTACAGTGTTCCGTCTCAGCTCATTTCTGTAGACGTAACAATTCACAGAAAGCCCCACACTTCAAACCCGACTATCTGGTGGTTGCTCTGCTGACTATGGGGAGCTTCATCCCCACAGGAGGCTAATGGGAAGCCATCACTTATGAAGTTCCACATGGCCTCTGTTCATCACCTCTCCATCATCTGTGTCCTGAGCATATCTTCCTTCTCTGTGTGACAACAGGACTGGTTTGCCATTCCTCAACACTGGGTCCAGGAGCAGGGTTGTTCCTGGGATTTGATTTGAGAAGTGGTGTGTGCACCCATACTTCACTGTTGCTGAGGGCTTTGTTGAGCCACACGGCAAGTCAGGCTGATGCTTCTCATGGCTCTTGTTCTCTGCCCTTTATGCTGCTTGGCTTTCCAAGCACTTGGGGTGGTACAGCTGTGACCCATTTCTATAGGATCTCTGACCTCAGTAATTTTTGCAGCCTCTGAAGTGGCTATGCTCATGAGTCCTTTCTGAACTGCTCCACCTGCCCGGTGGAGGAGGAATTTCCTAAATGGTGTGTGTGTGTGTGTGTGTGTGTGTGTGTGTGTGTGTGTGTGTGTATGTGTGTGTGTGTGAAAGAGAGAAAGAGAATGTATGAGAGAAAGTGTGTGTGAGAGAATTGTGTATGTGAGAGTATGAGTGTGTATGAGAGAATGTGTGAGAGTTGTATGTGTGAGTGTGTGTGAGAGAACAAGTGTGTGTGTGTGTGTGTGTGAGAGAGAGAGAGAGACAGAGACAGAGACTGAGAGGGAGGGAGGGGAGAGAGAGAGAGAGAGAGAGAGAG